TGCTCAAGGACAGACCAACTCCTGGACAGTCTGAAGCACCAGATGTCTGCAGGAGCAGGTTTGGGAAAGGATTTGGTATCCCACACAAATCTTGTTTGCCAGCCCTGCTCAGCAGTGCACACAACGTCCAGGAAGGGGATTTATTCCTAAAAGATTCCTCTGCAAAGCWGCACAGCCTGAGTGCAGAATGTTTAGAAACAGGAACAATGTCCATTGTTCTAAACCTTGCTATGATAATAAACTCGCCCTTCCAACAACTTTCACTCAGGTAACTGATAGGAAACTTCTTTGATAAGAAACACTCAGGAACCTCAGCTCAGGAGGGAATGGGAAGTGTCAGAGTCAAAAGAGATGAGAGATTAAACAGTGTGAGCTCACCTTGCTCCCTGTTCTTACACACAAGCCTTAAAACTGACTCCCTTCTCTCCCCTCACCAGAACCGAGTTCCACTGGCTCACAATTTCACTGCAGCACCTGAAAACATCACCTGAAACCTGAAACCTCCTCAAACATCACCTGAAACCTCCTCAAACATCACCCGAAACATCCTCAAACATCCCCTGAAACATCCTCAAACATCACCTGAAACATCCTCATCGCTTTTGAGAGCTCAGCTTGGAGCTGAAGCTGCTAAAACTCTGCTTGGTTTACACCAGTTTAATTCCAGGACACAGCTGGATGATCTGTCACCCTGGAGCTGACCAGGACAGGGCTCTGCTGAACACACCGTGCTGGAAAAGCACTCTGTGCCCACTGAATTACACTTTTTTGGGGAGATTCAGTCTGGTTCCAGCACTGCTGTAGGGTGCATTATCCCAAAGGGACAGAGRAACACACACCTGAGAGCTGAGGGGTGAAACAACCATCAAATGTTCATTCCAAACTTTGTGTGGCTGAAAAGGAACATTCCTGCTGTTCCCAGTTCCAGACTGTGCCCACCCCACACAGCCTGGCACACCCAGTGCCACCCCGTGCCACAGCCTGGGGACAATGGGGACATCCCAAGGCTCAGGGGACAGGAGACACTGCTGTCAGACAGTCACTGGATTGGTTCTGTGCTCTGCTATACCAAGGACTTCTTCATCCCTAAAACATTCATTTTACAAAATTTAAAAAACAGAGAACAGTTTTAGTTAYAGCAATAATTAGCTTCTCATTACCTAAATACTAATTAGCTACTGAGTTGGGTTTTTTTACCACGTGTTTTGCTCCCTGAATGATGAGGGATTAACATTCCTTAGAGAATTCAGGCAGCAGCTTTCTCCCCTTTCCTTGCAAAGAGCACAATTTGCAATTGCTGGAAGTTTACATTTAAACATTCCAGGTAAAATCCCCTCAAAGTGAAAATACACTTTGTTTTTTTTTATCCAGCCTGGGTTATAGCAGGCTGCAGGTGCAATTCTTCTCCCCCAAGCAAGCTTAAATCAAGCATGAAATACCAGAGAGTGACAGTGTTAAAAGTGAATTAATATTTAGGGATTTCCAGCTGGATGTTAATACTCTGAATTTACCTTCATATTCAAATTTGTCTCCAGGCACATCAAGCCTGATGTTCTCATGCATTTAATCTGTGAATTCTCTGGTGCAGTAAGCAGCCTTACACCCCACATTTGCTGACAAACTGATACCACAGAGGATTTATCCCCAGCCCCTCTTCACTACAATTTAAATGAACCAAGGGAGAGGAAAGAGAGTGCCCAGTTCACAAAAAAAAGAATAAAGAAAAAGTGCTGAGAGGACAGAATGCATTGAAAGCCACAATTTCATTTCTAGTCTTGCAAATGTAATCAATACTCATACTTCTTACTGCTGCAGTTGCTGGTGACCTGACCTCGTGTGTCATATCCAACAACAAAGCCTCTCTGCTTGAAGTCAGAGAAATTCCTCTCGAGGTATTTGTAGATCCCCTGGGGACAAAAAAATAAAAAAAAAAAAAAGAGAAAAAAGGAATTAGCTGCAGTGCAGCACACACAAACATGAAAGGGGATCTTTCACAAAGGAGGCAAAATACAGCTCAAACACATCAACAGTGCTGTGCACAAAAGCAGCAGTGGTTTTTCCTCAGTGTTCACTGAAAGAGCAAATAACAGAGAGACAGGGGTGGGAAATTAAAGGGAGTGGRACAACAATGAGCCCTCAAGCAGCAAACACCCATTTTCAATTCATGCTCTGCTTTCATTTAGTCAAACCATCTTCTTAAAGACTGAACTGAGAAAAATCCGTATTTACGAAGCCCATCCACCCAGGCAATCCAGAATGTGCCAGCCTAGTCGTTATCTCAGCCCACAGTACAAATCAGACATTTCCAACACTCTTCCCAAAATGCTGGTCCTAAATTTCCCTTCGGATCAGGAACTGCTTGGCTGGGAAGATCCTGTGTTCCTGCAGCCTCACCTCCCCTGCAGCCTTCCCAGACATTCATTTCCCAGTCAGAGTCTCCAGAGCTCCATCAGGGAATGCCCACCATGGATCAGCAGATTGAGATGAAAAGATGGAAGCACCATTGTCCATGGAACTTTCCAGAAGCTACAGTTCCCTACAGCCACACAGCACAGTGAGCTTCACCAGCCATGCTGATCCTACAAATGCTGCCTCTTGATGGGACTGGGGGTGTTTTGGACCAGAATTAAGCACATTTTTTCCCCACCAGGATTAAGTGCAATTATTTGGGATGTTTTTAGCTGGAGCTGACCTGGTATCTGGACAGCCAGCCTGACTCTCACCCTGGAATTCAGCTGAGATTTTTTTTTAAAGGCTTTGGCCCTTTAGAATCACAGGATTGTTAATTGGAAAAGGCCTCTGAGATCAAACCCAAGCTCAAAGGATGAGCTCCAAAGCCTGACCCAGTGGAACCTCCAGGGAGAACCCTCTGAGCTGAGAGATTGGGGGATTTACAGAGAGAGGGAGAGAAAAACCCTCCAGAGAAACAGAGCTCTTGGAATAATGACAGTCTGGATCTCCTGCTGAAATCACCTGAACCCACTGAACCCAAAACACACCAAATGTTCACCTGCCCTGGCCACCAGCCAAGAACTCACATTAACAACTGCAAAGAGAAGAGAGAGGAACAGGAAAATCCCATTCAAATTCAACCTGAGCAACAGATTTCTCGTAACAGATCCCTTATTTAGGCTAAGGTTTGGTATAAAGAAAAGCAGGAATAATGTCTTTACTTTCTGCCAYGGAGCAGTTTGATTAAAATTAACAAAATCCCTTAAGCTCAGCCTCAGACCCCACAGCTGAAGCCAACTCAGTCCTACCCAAACACCTTCATGAAAGCTGCAGAAATAAAAATAAATCAGTAAATGTCAGTGAGAGGCAGCCAATGCAGAGCCCTTCACTCTGAACCCCCTGAGCTCACACCAACCTCATCCCAGTTCCCCAGGGCAGGGAGGAATYCCAGCACCTCTCAAAGTTCCTCCATTTAAAGAATTATTTCCTTTAACAAGACTCAGCTTTTGCTAATGTCCCTAATTGCTGCTGCTGTTAAATTCCTCCCTTTCTAAACAAGGCCCAGGTTTATCTTGTGGTGTTAATTAATGCTCGTTAGCAAATGTCAGCACACAACTGAACAACCCCCTCAGCCAAAATTCTCTTCAGCTGATTGAAATATCACCATTACCTCTCCCACTGCACAGCTCAGGTGATGCAAAATCACCCCATGGTTCATGTTTTGTTTCCTGATGCAAAATCCATGGACAGAACAATCCCACACCTACAGCAGGTCCAGTTCAAAAGGGAAGTGAGGAACAGCAATGGGATCAGGAATGAGATGGAAAGATTCTTAGTTGGTGAAATCCAGAGAGATAGGAAGAGCTTTATAAAGCCAAACATTTAATTTTTTGAACTATTACCCTTAGCTTTGCTTTTCTAGCAGCAGGAAACTCCTTGATGCAAAGGTGGTTTTGTCCCTGTGGAGATCAGTGACAGGGTTTTTTTCCCGCTAATAAAAGCACTGGACATGCACAAAAGCAGGACAAAAGCCAGGGAATCAGGACTTTGGAGTCTGTGCACCTACAATTCTCAGCAGAGTCCAAAGCAACTCCTGGATATTCTGTGCCTTCCCGGATCTGACTTTTCATAATGTCACTATAATCAAATCAAATGGAAATCAAAYGGGAAAGGATCAAATAAAGGATACAGAACACACATGTGCCTTCCCTGCAGTTCATGTTAATGGAGGGAGGTGTTAATTACACTCAAGTTTGCTGTCTGGTTATTTATT